TAGAATCAACCAAACGTATTCTCAAACCGTGCAAACCATGACTACCTAGTAAGGTTATTATCCAAAAGAAAGAGTCCATTGTTTACAAATCCAAGTCAAAAAAGAATGAAAGAGTGAAAAATAAAGCCTCAAAAAGCTATGTACAAAACCAAGAACAAAAAGAAGAGAAAAGAAAATAAAATATGGGAAACCAAGATAAAGGAAAAGTAGGAGAACAAAGAAAAGGACAAAGATGCAATCATAACACGTATTTCCCAATCGACAAACAAGCGGTCAAATGGCCACATCGCCAAAGACTCCAAAAACACTAGGTGTTATAATCATACATCCTCGAACTGTTCAACTCTCCTAAAACTAATCCTAATCTAAGCTACCAAGAAAAGTAAAGGAAGAAAAGTAAAGAGATAAAACAATAAAGGCCTCACCAAGCGTCCAAGCTATGCTACAATAATAAAGGAGCAAGAACGACCTCCTCTAAGAAGTTTCGAAGACCAAAGAAGTGGCTATGAGCAAGGTGAGAAAAAGAAAAGAAAAGGACTATATACAAAATGAAATTGTTAGTAACTTCCAAATTAAAGCAAACAAAAGAAAACTTACGCGAAAACTATGTATAAAGAACCGAAGAAACCATCATCATCATCATCAATAGAAGGGACCACAAAACATCATCATCAAAAACCAAGACAACAAGATAAACAACATACCAACGAGACTACCAAGAGCGAAGCAAGATAAATCCGTCAAAGCCCTTTCAAACACATCCCCAAGAGTCCATGGTGCCTCCCCAAAAACCTACCCTAAAACATCCTAATTGATTCCCCCCATACAAAATAAGGGCATCGACCGCGATGCTTAAAAACATGCAAAGCTAAAAGGGAGGAAACAAAAAGGGAATCAAACAACCAAGGGGGAAACTATTGGCCACTAGGGCAGGCACCTCCATCATCCACATCCCAACCTCCGGTATAACCGGGAGGGAATCCATAGCGACCCTTAAAAAGGTCAAGTTGAGATGCGGATAATTGGTCAAAAAGCTCCGGTTGCATACAAAGCTCGGGGTGAGTGGGGTGAACATAGTAGTAGTCAGGGTCACCCCGATAATCACTCCCCTCCGAGACCCGGTAGTCATAATGACTGGACTCATCTGGGAAGTCACGCCTTGGTTCATCGGGGTTCGCAACCCTGGGCCAATATGGGTACGTGGGGAGGTTGGCACCACCCCAAGATGGCACCGGCCCTTGTTGGGGCGGCACATAAGGGTAGTTCACCGGAGGAGTGACCTCCCCCCTAAGCACACTAGTGTCATATAGGGCGCTAGTTTGAAAAGACAAAGTTTGATGGTTTGAAAACATACCTTGCATGCTCAATTGCATGCGCTCCATATGCTCACGCATAGCCTCCATCTCACGGAGATATGCATCTCCTTGGTTGTCTTGTTGGTGATGTTGTTGTCTTCTTCTTCCTCTTTGTTGCGGTTGTTGTTGTTGTTCATGCTAAAATTGCCATTGGCGTTGTTGTTGCTCTTATTCATCTTCTTCTTCTTCACCACCTTCTCCTTCTACACCTTCACCATCATGCCCATCATTATCATCATCGTCCTTATCACCAGCATCCTCCTCCACAACATTCTCAACCCTCCCATCATCCTCGGGAATCCTGCAAACAATCCTAGCCTCTCGAGTGATTGAGGTGGCAGCCGGGTTTGGGAGCAAACAATGGTGCACATTACGCACTAGCCAAGAGTACCCACCGTTTCCCTTAGTCTTAGAAATGACGCACAAGGTGTTAAGTTGCTTCATATCCAAATACATGTCTTCACTCTTTCCAATCGGAGTGCAAGACCTCAAGAAACGCTCTTCCTTGAAATAATGCACCAATCTAGTAATCATACCACCACAATGAATCTCACCCATCTTCTTTCCATTGGTGATCAATTTACAACAATTCATGAAAAGATACCCAAAATTCAACCTTAGCCCCAAATTCGTCCTTGTATCCATCCAAATCACCAAGATCTCCTCCCTCGAAAGCATCCTAAGATCTTGCTTACTAAATATTGTATACCCAAGAATCTGATGGAGAATACGAAGAGCCGGGTGGATAATCTCGCTAGTAAGCGATTCCTTAGAGTCAAACGACTTCTTCCTAGATATGGCTCTCCACAAAGCAACCTCATTGTATTTAGTCTTGTGAAGGGCAACCAAGGGCTCAAAGATGTCGGTATTTGGGTTGAAACCAAGGGCTTTATTGAATTCCGCAAGGTTCATGGTATGCTTGGAATTGAAAAGTTTAAAAGAGATGATATAGTCGGTATCCCCTGTCATATTAAACTCAAAGGTGGAGAAAAATTCAATGCATGATTCCAAATAAGTTTGGGGGGATGACTTAAAAAACTCAACCAAACCAATATTACAGAGCAAAATGTTAAGATTGGCAATAACACCCAATTTTTCCATATCCTCCGGAAAATAGTTGCGGGACGGTCTAAATTTCCGGGATTTCAGTTTATCATAGTTAGGGGTGTGTTTTGCCCGGTTATGAAATTTGAGAGCGGGTAAAGGAGGAGGTGGGGCATTATCTTGAGTAGTTTTGTTTTGAGGGGGTTCTGTGTTTGAAGGTTGGCCACGAGAGGATTGGCCGGGGATTGGTTTGAACTTCTCTTGCTACTCTTAACTCTCCTCAACAAATCCATAGTTTCAAGTTCAACCAACACAATGAATCACAAATAACACCCAAATTCAACACTACCACCTAAGTGAACAAACCTCCGTTCACAAGACCACCCAAAACCACCACAAACTACAAAGTACCTGTTACAAGCAACAAACAACCAAAAATCAAACAACAACCAACAATATGAACAATCTATCAAAAAAAGAAGCACAAAAACATCCAAAATAATTCCAAAACCACCAAACAAACAAACAACCAAAAAATCATACTCAATCTTAATCAAGGCCACTCACAACCAATGCATAAAAATCAATTGAAATTTACAAAATTAAAACAAAGGTGAGAAGTATACCAAGATTAAAGACTCAAATTAAGCACAAAATCAAGTAGACTCAAAATTCCCGAAGAAAACCACGAGAAAGAAGAGAAAACTTGATGAAAATGGAGTATGAAGGAAGTTTGGATGGAAATTTAAGAGAAAACAAGGGTGAATTTGAGTAAAATTGAGTGAAAGAGATGATTTGGGGGTTAGGGTTTGAGAGGAGGAAGAGAGAGAATGGGGAAAATTAAGAGTGAAAAGGAAAATGAGAGAGGAGAGAGAAAGAGAGAGGAACTGGGTCTATTAAAAACCCAGATCCCCGCGCCCTCTCTCTACAAAGTCGCGCCCGCTCCAATATTGCCACGCCCGCGGAGAGACCGCGGGGCAATCGCGGAGAGTTTTTGGAAAAATCCGGAAATTTCATACCTGACCATGGGCCGCGCCCTCTCTAATTCGCCCGCACCCGCGGAGAGACCGCGGAGAGTTCCTTATCCAATTTTTAGAAAATGAGCCGCGCCCTCTCTGAATTTCCCCCACGCTCTCTCTAAGGCACCCGCGCCCGCGGAGAGCTTCCGGAGAGACAACGGAGAGCTACTTATTCGATTTCCACTTGTTGAAAGCAAGGGCACCCGAGGCCTCTCCAAGCCCGCGGGGTGCCCTTACCCCTACACTCCAAAACCTCTTATCACCCTCAACAAACACATTTAGCCCATATATAATGAATGAAGGCAACCCTACAAAACAAACCAAAAATACAAGGAAGGGTAAGAGCAAAAATCAACAAAAAACCAAAAATAAAAGAAAGGAAAGAAAATAGAGTAAAGGTGAGAATCCGGGTTGCCTCTCGTAAGCGCTTTTGTTTAATGTCATTAGCTCGACGTTTACCACCCCACTCAAGGTGGTTTGAAAAGAATCATTTTATGAATAAGACCAACAAACACTACTTCAAAATATTTCTTAAGCCGATGACCATTAACCTTGAAAGAAGATGAGGAATCCAAAGCAGAAATCTCCACGGTGCCATTAGCAAAAACATATTTCACCAAGAAAGGACCACTCCATTTTGACATGAGCTTTCCGGGAAATAACTTCATTCTCAAGTGGTAGAGGAGGACTTTATCACCCACACAAAACTCTTTTTTCTCAATAAGCTTATCATGAGCTTCTTTGGACGAGCTTTGTAGGTGCTAGCACAGTCATAAGCATCAAGTCTAAGCTCCTCTAGCTCATGAAGATCCAACCACCTTTTCTCCCCCGCACTTTCTAAATCAAAGTTTATCTTTTTGATTGCCCATAAAGCATGGTGTTCAAGCTCTACCGGAAGATGGGAAGACTTTCCATAGACAAGGCGATATGGAGTGGTACCAATAGGCGTCTTTAAAGCCGTCCTATAAGCCTAAAGAGCATCATCTAACTTGTCCGACCAATCCTTTCTATTCCTTGCAACCGTCTTCTCAAGAATGAGCTTTATTTAACGATTGGAGACCTCGACTTGGCCACTCGATTGAGGATGATATGGGAGGATGAACCGTTGATTCACTCCATGTTTCCTCAACATTTTTTGGAAGGAGTTCTGAACAAAATGAGATCCATTATCGCTTATCACAGCCTTAGGCACGCCAAACCTTGGCAAGATGATTTTGTTGAACAACTTCAACACTACTTTGTGGTCAATAGTAGGGGAGGCAATGGCCTCAACCCATTTAGAAACATAGTCCACAGCCACAAGTATGAATTGATTACCATATGAAGATGGGAATGGTCCCATGAAGTCAATCACCCAAACATCGAACACCTCTAATTCAAGAATAAGCTGTTGAGGCATCTCATTCCTCTTGGAGATATTCCCAACCCTTTGACATCGGTCGCATGACTTTACAAAGCCCCATGAATCTTTGAAGAGATGCGGCCACCACAAACTACATTGAAGAACCTTAGTTGCGGTTTTTGAAACGCCCATATGACCGCCACTTGGATCCGAATGACACATCTTTAGAACACTTGGCACCTATTTATTCGGGACACAACGCCGAAGCAAGCCATCCACCCAGCGTTTATACAAGATTGGTTCATCCCACAAGTAATGTCTTGCCTCCCTCTTAAGCTTCTTCTTTTGGTTCTTGGAGAAAGAAGGTGGAAATTCCCCACATGCTAGAAAGTTCACCAAGTCGGCATACCATGGGAGATCCTTAACCTTAATGGCATACAATACATCATCAAACATTATATCTTCAATTGGTAGACCATTATCATGAATTTGATCACCCTCAAGGCGATAAAGATGGTCCGCCACAACATTTTCCGCACCCTTCTTATCCCTAATCTCTATTTCAAAAGTTTGTAATTCAAGCACCCAACGAATCAACCTTGGCTTGGACTCTTTCTTGGCAAAGAGATAATTGAGAGCCGCTTGATCCGTGAAGACAATGGTCTTGGAACCAAACAAATAACACTGGAATATCTCGAAAGAGTGAACAATGGTCAAGAATTCTTTTTTCGTTGTTGTGTAATTCTTTTGGGCCCCATTTAGTGTCTTAGACATATAGTAAGTCACATAAAGCTTCTTTTCCACACGTTGTCCCAAAACACCTCCAATTTCCCAATCACTAACATCACACATCAATTCAAAGGGTAAATCCCATCTTGGGGCTTGAACAATGGGGGTAGAGATTAGGGCCTTCTTCAATCTATTAAATGCTTCCAAGCATTTATCATCAAAAATGAACTCAACATCTTTTTGAAGGAGATCATTAAGGGCTTGGCAATGAGTGAGAAATCCTTGATGAATCTTCTATAGAAACCCGCATGACCCAAAAATGATCTCACTCCCTTGACATTCACCAGAGGTCGAAGCTTCTCAATAATCTCAATTTTGGCCTTATCCACCTCTATTTCTTTATGAGAGATCTTATGCCCAAGCACTATCCCCTCCTCCACCATGAAATGGCATTTCTCCCAATTCAAGACAAGATTAACCTTTACACACCGAGCCAAACATTTCTCAAGATAAACTATGCACTCTTCATATGAAACCCCACCTACAGAGAAATCATCCATAAATATCTCTATTTTTTCCTCCAACATGTCTATAAAAATGCTCATCATGCACCTTTGAAAAGTTGCGGGGGAATTACAAAGGCCAAAGGGCATTCTCTTATAGGAAAAGGTCCCATAGGGGCATGTAATTGTTGTCTTCTCTTGATCTTCGGGGTGGATTGGAATTTGGAAAAATCCCGAATAGCCATCAAGGAAGCAATAGAACTTGTGCCTTGTTAGTCTCTTTAACATTTGATCAATGAATGGAAGGGGAAAGTGATCCTTTTTGGTGGATGTATTTAGACGTCTATAGTCTATACACATCCTCTAACCGGTGACCGTCCTAGTTGGAATGAGCTCACCACCCTCATTCTTTACTACGGTCATACCCCCTTCTTAGGAACGACATGAACGGGAGAAACCCACCTAGAGCTTGAGATGGGGAATATGATTCCCGCATCCAAGAGCTTGTTGATCTCTTTTTTCACCACCTCTCCCATTTGAGGGTGTAGCTTTCTTTGTCGTTCAATAGAAGGAAGGGTGCCTTCCTCAAGCGTTATGTGGTGCATACACAAAGCGGGGCTTATACCTTTAAAATCATCGATAGTATAGCCCAAAGCACCTTGGTGCTTTCTCAAAACACAACATAACGCTTGAGCTTGGCTCTCGCTTAAGGATGCACTAACAATTATGGGGTAAGTGGAATTTGGGCCTAAGAATTTATACTTAAGGTGTGATGATAGAGGTTTGAGCTCTACCATAGGCACACCTTTACCTTCTTTTGTTGCGGCCTCTTGCAAAGCTTCATGGATTGAGATCTTCAAGCACAATTGTTCATCCACTTCCTCCATTCTTCCATTAAGCAATTCCTCATACAATGCTACCTCCTTGCATGATACCCCTAGCTTTTCTTTATTCAACAAAACATTTTCAAGAGCATCGTTAGAGGTGAGCAAGTGCTCATGCACGGAAGACACAACATGATCAAGAGAGTCAATCATCATGCAATTTTCAAGAGAAGAACTTGGATATTTCATGCTTTCATTCAAATTGAATTATATAACCTCATCTCCTACCTTAAGGGAAATCTTTGCACACTTTACATCTACCATAGCACCCGAGGTAGCAAAAAAGGTTCTACCTAGAATAATTGGAATGGTAGCATCTTCATCCATTTCTAAAACAACAAAATCCACCGGGAACACAAACTTCCCAACCCTCAATGGAACATCTTCCACTTTACCTTTTGGAAACTTGATTGACCTATAGGCTAGTTGCAAGCTAATGTTAGAAGGTAAGAGTTCCCCTAGATCAAGTCTTTGATAAACCGAATATGGCATTAAGCTTACACTAGCTCCTAAGTCACACAAGGGATTATCAAATTGCATCTTATTAATAGCATAAGGGATGGAAAAGTTTCCGGGGTCTTTCAACTTGGGTGGAATTTTGTTCATGATTATCGCACTACAATTTTCAGTCAAATTGATTGTCTCCACAACATCACAAGTCCTCTTTCCGCTCAAAATGTCTTTGAGGGATTTGGCATAATTAAGCATTTGGTTGATCACATCGATGAAAGGTAGAGAAAGGTTAAGTTGTTTGAGCATATCAATAAATCTCCCAAATTGCTTATCCAATTTGTGTCTCATGAATTATTGGGGATAAGGGAGCTTGGGTTTCACAATATCTTTATCTACTCTCACCTCTATTGGTGTCTCAACCACAACCTCATCTAAAGATGCTCTACTTCCCTCATTCTCAACCAAAACTTCCTTGGGGACCTCCTTGTTATCACTCCTCCTAGGCAATCTCTCCTCAAGAACCTTACCACTCCTTTTAACAATAGCATTCAAGGGTTTCTTGGGATCTAGGCCTTGGGAAGGTAAAGAAGAAGGGCTTTCTTGGTCTTTCAAAGCACTACAAGATGAGAAATTTGGTTTTTGAGCATGTTGTTGTGGGTCATCATTTCATTGAACTTCTTGTCACTAACTGCCATAGATGTGTTCAACAACTTAGTTTGATTTTCAATTATTTCCTCCAAATTGGTCCTAGAAGAAGAAGATTGAGAATAGGAATTTTCACCTTGAGTCTTTGGAACAAATTCGGGTGGGGGACCTCTTTGAGAATTATTTTGAAAATTGCCCCTACCTTGATTGTTCCAATTACCCCTATTTTGATTTTGACCATAACCTTGATTATGGTTTCCACTACTTTGGTTATGATTTCCATAATTTGGTTTTGATTACCATAATTTTGGTTTTGATTTTGACTACTATAACCTTGATTGCTATAGTTGCCACGGGAACTTTGGTTCCCTTGGTTCCTATAACCACCACCTTGGTTATAGTTGTCAAAATTACCTTGGTTTTGGTAATTCCTATTCCATTGACCTCTTTGATTATCAAACCTTTGCACATTATTATTTGACACATAATTCACATGCTCACTCTCACTATTATCAAAATCATCACCACATTCCGGAGAAGCATGAGGGCAATTACAAGAGTCATGATCATAAGATCCACATGCATCACAAAACAAGCAACCACTAGGCATATTATTTGAAGAGGGAGGGGTTGAGAGTTAGAAAAGGTACCCCCCCCCCCTTAAATTGGGAGGGAGAATTCAAAGCTTGAGAAGAAAATGAGCCTTCCAACTTGGCCTTGATCGCTGTCATTTCTTTCCCCAAGTTTGTCATTGGTGAGAATAAGTTGTTGATCGCATTTAGATGGTCTATAGAGTACACCAAAGAGCCACTCTTGCTAGTTGAATCCCTCTCACCATCTTTCCAATCTCTATAGTACTTAACCACGTCCTCTATAATGTCAACCACTTCCTCTTCTGTCTGATTCATTATGGGACCTCTGGCACCCCCATCAAGGCATGATTTTCCTTGAGGACTTAAGCCACCATAGAAAATTTGAATGACTTGATAGGTTGGAATTCCGTGGTGGGGACATTCCCTTTGGTACTCTTTATACCTCTCCCATGCTTCGTGGAGGCTTTCATTAGGTCTTTGCTTGAACTCTTGAATCAAAGCTCTAGCCTCTGCCATTTTCTTTTGTGGGTAGAATCGGGACAAGAATTCCTTGGTGACTTCGTCCCATGTTCGAAGGGAATTTGGCTTTACCTCCTTATCCAACCACTCCAAGGCTCGGCCTATGAGAGAAAATGGAAACAACTTAGCCAGATGAATTCTTGAGAAACTCCGTTCACTTTGATAGTGTTGCAATACTTTTCGAACTCCTTTTTTTTGGAAAATAAGAGAAATTTTATTACCAGAAGGAAAAGTTACAACTTACAAAAACTAAGTTATAACAAACACCAAACCCCACAAGACCTGTAAAACAGGGCAACCAACCACCAAAAAGTTCAAGCACAATCTCCTGCCACCTTCTAGGAAGGGTTCAGGAGAAAGAGACAAGAACACCCTGAGCACAAGCTTCAACCCACCTTCTAGGAAGGGTTCTGGAAACAAGGCCCAAAAACACAAAGACAAGCACAGAGAAACAACAATAAACACCACCCCTGCAAACTGTAAAAAGCAAACCACTACCTAGACTTAGCTGCAAAAGCAACAAGACTAGACAAAAGAGGGTAATACACCACCTCAGGGAAAGCAACAAGACAAAGCACCAGATTTCAACATTAGCAAAACAGATTTGCAACAACTACAACCACTAATAGCATCTAAAACCAGCAAAAGCAGTAAAATACAGCAACAGCAACAAAGACAGCAATAGTTCAGCAACTCCAGAACCAGCAACAGCAGCTTTTGAAACAGCAACAAAGCAGAAACATCACAGCAAAGCAGCCAGCTAGCAATAACAGCAACAGCAGCTGAAAACAACAACAGCAACACAGTCTCAACCATAACAGCTGCTGACCAGCACAGCAACAGAGCAGACAACATAGCAGAGCAGTCAGCAACAACAACAACAACAGGGAAGCAACAGCACAGCAGGGCAGTCAGCCAGCAACAGAAGTCAGCAACAACAGTTGAAATCAGCAATAACAACATAGAACCCAGCAATACCAGCTGCTGACCAGAACAGCAACAGAGCAGACTGCACAACAGAACAGTCAGCAACAGCAACAAAATTCAGCAACAAACAGCTGATTTCAGCAACAGCAAAAGAACAAAAATAACAGCAGAAACCTGCAGAAGGCAGGGACCCAAAAAAGCAGGAAAACAGCAAAAATCAGCAACAGCATCAGAAGACCATAATAACAGAAGCAGCTCCTAAACAATCAAGTATTTGCTTCCCGCTGGGATTCTACAGGCTGAGTGAAAGACAATATCCCTAACTAGAGCATCAACGGGTTTGCAACAACCAGTAAACAAGACTGCACTCCTCTGAATCCAAATACTATATACTGTTTCAGTGAAGGCTACATGGATCACTTTGTTTTTCAATCTGGAACTTCTGCAAATTTTCTTCATCCATTCAATCTCATCACTAAACTGTTGAGCAGGCTTAGAAACATGTAAGATACCCAACACCTTGTTCCAAACCTGTCTAGAGTACTCACAATCAAAGAATAAGTGTTGAACACTTTCATTGCTATTCAGGCACAAGAAACACTTTGGATCACAAGAAATGTGCCATTGAAGCAACCTATCCTTAGTGACAAGCCTATTCCACAAAGCTAGCCACAAAATAAAAACACTTTTAGGAGTTTCTAAGTTATGACAAATAATTCTCTTCCAAGGAACCTTAGGGACTTGAGGCCTAATAGCAGCATAAAGCTTCTTGATTTTGACTTTATTGCCCTGAATCATAGCCTTTGATCAATTATGTTGCAAAAAGGATATTGTCACCAATGTGCTTGCCTGGAATGAAACCTGCTTGAGCATCATCAATCACCTCACCAATGATAGCAGCAAGCCTAGCAGTTATGACCTTAGAAATAAGCTTATAAACCACATTGCAACAAGTGATAGGTCTAAAATCCTTAACATGGGAAGCATTACGGATTTTAAGAACAAGAGTGATAGTTGTGCAATTCCATTGCTTAGGCAAGGTCCCTTTAGTGATGAAATCAATAACACTAGCATAAATATCATCTTTCACAATATGCCAAGCTCTCTTAAAGATGAAGGAGTTAAAGCCATCAATACCATGAGCTTTAGTGTTATTAATTCCCTTAAGGGCAGCATCAATTTCAACATGAGAAACAGGCCGAATGAGATAGCTCTGAGCAACAGAGCTAAGCTGTTTACCCCTCCTCATAGTAACAAGGTCAACAGCAGGAAGCCAAGGAGCCTGAGTCCCTAAAAGAGACTTATGAAGGAGATAATTTCATGAGAAATAGCATCCGGATCCTTAAGCAGAACCTGGTTAGAGTCAAAGATGGAGTCGATTCTATTCCTTGCTTGTCTATTCTTCATCACAGAGAAGAAATAATGAGAATTACCATCTCCAAACTTAATACAGTTGATCCTAGATTTTTGTTTGAAGATGCTTTCCTGAATATCATTCCAGTGTTTGACAACCTTAATAGCATCAGATTCTTTAGCATATAGATCCAAATCATCAGGATTATGAGCCATTAAGTTCTGAATTCCAGCAAGCTCAACATTAGCTTGATCAATCTTTTCCTCAATGTTGCCGAACTGCTTGCTATTAAGAAACTTGATACTAGACTTCATAGAATTAAGCTTCTACCAAACAGAACTACTAGAACTCCAAGCCTGAGAAACAGTATCAAGGAAATCAGGGTGATTAGCAATACAGTTTAGAAACCTAAAAGGTCTACCTCTCCTAGCAGGAGCAGAACAAACATCCAACAGAACTGGACTATGATCAGATAAAGAGGGGGGAGATAGATAGTCTCAACATGCCCATGAGAGGCCAGCTAAGCTTGGTTACCAAAGACTCTATCAATCCTAGGAAAGGTTCTAGGACCAGTGTGAGCCTTATTTGACCAAGAGTAGAAGGCTCCTTTGCTCTTGACCTCAGTGAGGTCCAAATCATCAACTAAACTCTGAAAATCTCTAGTCTCATAATCGGTAACATCAATACCATGAAGCCTATCTGAAGTATGAAGAACAGAGTTAAAGTCACCAGCACAAAGCCAAGGAGATGTTGAATAGAGATGCTCCTAATTCCTTCCCACATAGGAAGCCTATCATGAATGGAGTGAAGCCCATAAACAACAGTGAGATGAATTTGAGTAGAAAGATCCTTAGAAAAGACACTACAATGAATGAACTATTATAGATCTTCAAGACATTAACAGTTACTCTATCTGCATTCCAACCAAGCCGAATTCTCCCTTTGGGAGAATGATCATAATTGCACATCCAAAGCCAAGAAGAGTCAAACTTTCTCTGATAAGTGAGAACATTTTTGGATTTGATTTTTGTTTTAAGAAGACCAATAACATCAACAGAATGAGAATGAAGCAACCTCTTAACAGAGGCAATTTTTCCAGGGTCATTCAGTCCCCTGGCATTCTAGATAGAGTAAATCATGACACCAAAGGGGGATTCACCTCACCCCCGCTTAGATTTATAGTGAAACCACCTGCACCATCCATTTTATTTGCAAATAAAGACAGAAAAGAATTAAAGGTAGAGGTAGGCTGATGAACTCTAGTTTACTGGCTTTTTGTCTTCCTTCCAACTATTCTCCACCCCTCATCT